CACATGTGTATATATGTATATATATATATATATATATATATATGCGCAGTGGTCGCTTCTCGCGAGCTATGCTATCGCTGCCACTCAACTCGACAGTCAAACCTCCAACGGCTCTAGATAAATACATTAATTAATTAATTTTAAATGTTTTTATATTTATCAAGAGCTTAATTAATACTTACTAATCACAAATAATGGTAAGGATGGATTTAGAGATCTTTATTATAAAAAATATGTTTATTTTAGTGGTGAAATTGTTATGTATTACTCTATTAAACTTTGTTTAACATCAAAATTGAAATGTGTTTATGGTGGAATTAAAAGAGTAGTAAGGATATGACACAAAATGTTTTCACGTTTAATTTTTTTGTATTAAAATAATATTTAGTCAACGAAAGTGAAATTTTTTAAATACATATTAATCTTTAATTATTAACTTTGAAATATTGTGTGAGTGATATTTATAAAAAAAATTGTTTTATTTAAAAATGGTTTTTTTTTATATGTTAGTTGATTTTTTAATTTACTCTTATATTTTCTATAGTTTTGTACTTCATTTAAAATTATTTTATTTCATAAATTATGTATCTATATATTAAAGTTGTAGTCATTTACTTATTTTATGAGTAATTACGATATTAGTATGACGTATTTACATATAAAAATGATGATTAATCTTTGTTAAAAATTATGATTTGGTTGAATACACGAGAATAAATGTTTCTCTCTTAACATGATTTATTTTATTTCTAAATTTAAAATTTAAAATTTGAGCAATTTAATTAATAGATATAAATCGTTATTATAGTGTGAATTCATGTTATTATTATGTTTATGAATGGTGTGTAACCATGAAGAATACATGCAAATCATGAATAAAATCATGTAAAATTAAATCAAAAATAAGAATTTGATATTGATTGAGTTTATAACACAATCAACATAATGAGCTTTTACTCAAAACTTAGTTGGAGGAAGAACCCTCTCAGCATAAAAACTGTGATTTCTCTGCTTCCCTTAAGTTTGTTACTCTTATCCCTCTCCTTTTACGACTCAATAATTATTTTATTTTTTTTACTATGAATTTTTATTTTTATTTTTATATTGTGAAATTAGGACTTTTTTATATTTTAAAAAAATAAAATTAACATAAGACATTGCAATATCTAATTTTTTAGGATTTAGGATTTATGTCTTCATTAGCTTATTTTTTAAAATAATAAATATTTTTAAAATATTTGTTAGAATAATTTACATTTATAAATATCGTTAAAAATTATCATATAATATATAACTAAAATAATATATATATATATATTCTATATATCTAAATGCTTATTCTTTAAATAATAATAATAATAATTATTATTATTATTATTATACTAATATTATATATATTGCATATGTAATTAGGTAAATATTTTTTTGGTGGATTGTGGATTTCCCAATCAACACCAATTTTTAGCTTCATTTCGAGGTGTAAGATATCATCTACAAAATTAAATTTTGCAGGTCAGGGTAATGACCCTGAAAATGAGAAAGAATTGTTCAATCTTCGTCATGTCTTTAAGGAATGTGATCGAGAAAATATTTGGTATTTTTAAATCAAGGTTCACAATTTTCAAGTCAGCACCTCCATTTTTATTTAAGACACAAGTAGAACTTGTGTTAGTATGTGCAACACTACATAACTTTCTACGTAAAGAATGTCGTTTTGATAAATTTCCAATTGAAGCGGTGGATGAATCTTCATCTTCAACGTTACCGGTTAATGAGATCATACTTTTAAACCTATTATTCAAACCCAGGAGCAAGAGCGAAAAGACGCTAATGCTTGGAGTACTAGTATAGCTATGAATATGTGGGTGAATGCTATTTAAGAGGATAAGATATTATGTTGAATTATTATTATTATTATTTATCTAGACATTATTATTTTTTATTATTTTTGTCTTTGACTCTTTTTAAATTTGAGTGTGAAATTTTTTTTGAAATCTTATCAAATGTCAAAAATCCACGAAAATTTTACAAAATCCCTCCTGATTTAAAAGTCTTGCAGAATCCATTAAAATCCTGATTTTAAGTCTTGTAGAATCCTGCAAAATCTTAAAAGTCATGAAAATTCTGCAAAGTCTTTTAAAATCCGTAGAATTTTTTTTAACTAAAAAAGTCCTTTAAAATCCTAATCCAATATACCCCCTGAAACACCCAAACAAAGCTAGTTTAAAAATTGTACAACTTCAACAAGATGAATAAAGGTATCATCTTATAAATGAATTGTAGTTTTGGTCCAGGCTAGGGTGGGAGACTTATTTTGTCTCCTACCGTAAGAAAGTTGCTTTTATCCTTTAGATTTGATAGATTTAAATCAATGGCTGAAATTATTTTTCTTTTTTTCCTTTTTACTTTTTTTTTCCTTTTCTAATTTACCCTTGATGTCACCTTCTCTCTCCACCAAATTTTCATCAAACATACTCTCTTTCCTCACCAACTACAACATCTTCACCCTACTCTCACACCTTACTCTAGCATCGACAACATTTGTCCATAATCATCATATATACAAACCAACTTGTGTTTTTGCAAGTGAGAAAAATCAAACAACTTTCTCTACCATTATATTCCTCGCGAGAGGTGCTTGGTTCTCATTCCAAGCCACCATCATAACACCACTATTTGACACAATCCTTGTCCTTGTATAATGTAATGTTTTAGATCTTCGATGTTGGGTTCCAAGTGAACATGCCACCTTTGGAGTGAGAGAGAAAGGGGTTGGAATTATTGTAGTCAGCGTTCAAAAAGGTAGATTGAGAAGAAATTGTTTTTAGAGTTTATGTTTTTGGGGTTATTTTGTTGGTTTTGTAATATTGATATGGTAGTGAATTTTTTGTTGGTGACACTGTCTAAAAAGGGGATTGACAGTCGCAACAAATTCTTTGAATGAAATCAAAGGAGAAGAATCATAGATGACAAAAGATAGACATGGGAAGAGCAACTAAGACAAAACAAGAAAGACAAAAAAAAAAATCTTAATCTCTCATTTTAAAACCAATATATTTAATGATAACAAAAATTCTTTCGCACAGTGAGAGGCATTTGTTAGTCTCCCACCATAGCCATCACCTATAATTTTATGAAAACTTTATTTTTTACACAAGAAAAAATGAGAGAAGAGGATGATCACAAGTATTTATATCTTGTCTGTACTAAAAAATTATATTTTTTTAACTTATTTAAACCCATGGTTTAGAATTTATTTAAAAAAAATGTCATAATTACTTTAGTAATTAGGAAAGAGACCTCATTACTTTCTTTGGTGAATATAAACAACAAAAATTCAATTCACATTAATTAAAAAAGATTGTTTATATTATTTAATTTTGTCAATTCTATATAAAAAGTAACTTATTTATTTAAATTATCATTACTCGAAATTTAATATCAAAAGAATATATTAAAAATATAATTTAATTAATTAAAGAAGTATTTTAAAATAATAATATTAAATAAAGAAAATTTTATTTATATTTAAGACAATAAATATTATTATTTTTTACTTATATAAAAGTATTAATAAATCTTTTGGGTAATAGAAAAAAGAAGTGATTAATCAACAAAAAAAAATTATAATAATTGAGAAGATATCAAATAATATTGATATAACCTTTAATAATTATTATATCATTAAATAATTTTATATTTAATGTAAATTTTATCAATTTAATTGTTAAATTATAAATTTATATTACGTTATATATTTATATTAAATTTTATTAAAATTAAATAATAATTTAAAAATAATTAAATTATTTATATTTTAATATATTTTAAAATATATAGTATGTTGATTTTAATCTATATAAATAAAGTATAAAATATTAAATTAACTTGAATTAATATAAAATTTAATAATAAAAATTTAAAATTTTATTTTTTGATATATAATAATTAATAAAAATTATATGGGTGTTATCTAATTATCTGCTTAATAATATACGATTTTATTGATATAGATAAGGCGAACAGCAGAGAGTAGGTGAACACTCAGTCATGGCTATCCGCATCAACTCTTTTACTCTCTCTTCAGTTTCACCTGTAATCTCTTTTTTCCTTTTCCACGCAAATGCCCAAAGTAAAATTTAATTTGATTTATTTTCTTTCAAATATATATTTTCTGAAATTGACTTCAAGTTCCAACCATATTATTAAATAATTTTCATGCAGAAGATGGAGTTAAGAGTTGGAAATTCAGGCCTCTGGGTTAGCTCACAGGTAGAAAAGATTCGAAATTTTTGAATCTTTCGTTTGTCCCCAACTAAACTTGTTTTTGCGTTCACTCTTTTTGCAAGATGATGCCCCAAATGCGAAAGGAGAGTCGTGGACGACGCGTCTGGAGGCGAAGAAAATTGGTATCCTTGGTCCCCATTTTCTTTTTCTAACAGTTATTGCCTTTTACGCTTGCCTCTTACATGTTTGTCTAAATTCCCAAGTTAAAACAAATAAACATTAAGGTGTTTGCTTGTGTTGTTGTGCTTGTAGCCCAGTTTAGAAAGTTTTTTTCTAGATGTAAAGTGCTAGTTGTGGGACTATTGTTATGCAAAGTAATAGTTAGGTGTTTGAGTTTATTTGGCTTGAAGGGTTAGTTCGGGTTTTAGAGTGAGGTGAGTTTGTATTTTTAGTTCTCTTGGGCATCAGCCTCAACTGGATGAGGTTTTGCTTTTAAGTGCAACTTGATGAGTCAGGAGATGGGTATTTCCTACTTATCATTTACCCATGGTTGTTCTTTTGCTAGAAAAGAAGGGTTTTAGTTGAAGCATTCTGAACTTTGTAAGTTTGATGGAAGGGTTGTGTTTAAAGAACTTGATGGTATTATATTTTTCAAAGACTTATTTATTGGATTCTAGGATTTGAAAGTAGACTGGGAAAATGAAACAGAATTAGCAATCTAGGTGTTTACGTGTTGCACATGACACCTTCATGGGGTTCCAACTTCCAAGTATAGATGGTATGACTTTTACAATATCTGTTACTATTGAAGAATATGACTATTTGCAAAAGGCTTTTTTGCTCATCTCCTGAGATAAATTCAATTCATTTCATGTCTTTGCTTCTTCGTATCACAATTTTATTGCACATCTCGCAATATTTGGTAAATTAGTCTCAATAGATACTCATCTTCTCTCAATCTTGATACACACAACACAATGAAAGGGTGAACATAAAGATTCTTTGATTTTTTTTTTCTTTTTGTCTTTAGACATAAGTTATTCAGTATTTCAAAGCTGATAGTCAAGGACAAATCTACACTCACAGGATGTGGCTTCTGCTTTTGTTTCTTCTTTTCTAATTAATTTGACAAATAAATTCAGAAACATAATTGCTAAGCTTGTGCATTATAGTACATGTGATTCATGTCATTGGCATGACTCTAATATCATGTGTTATTAACCTGAATGTTTAAGCAAAACTCATTTTGTTACAGATAAAAAAGGATGAATATATGCTTCCAAAAATGGAGCGGGTTCCTTTCATGGAGGAGCAGGTAAGGATTATAAGGGAACAGGGAAAGCTATTGACAATGGACATAGAGAGGCTGTTGTTATCAGAAGATAATCGGTTTGATTTCGTGAATGAGATAGCAGCTGAGGCGAATTCTTATGTTGAGAGCAACAGGGATGAGTATGGAGGTGAGAAGAAGGCCATTCTTCATGTTTTGAGCAACCGAATGAATGATACTGGAATTTACCGGCCAGAGGCATATTATGAGCCCGATCACTTCAAGCCCGGGCCTCATTATTTGAGAGAAGAATTTACATAATAAGTCCAGAAAAAATACATGTTATGCTGGCATCTTAAACTAGAGACAAAATCCTACATCTTTGCTTCTTATTGATTTCCGTCTAAATTTGCTGGTGTTGTTTGTATGTATGCAAATGAAAGCCATATTCAAACCGAAAATAAAATCAAATTAAAGGGTTTTTCTTCCTACTCATTGCAAAGATTCTAATGATGTTGAAGATGCATTATGACTAGCATTGCATTTGTTTTCACAGTTAAACTTTGCTGACCTGAGAAAAGAGAAAGGAAAAACAGCTTTCAAAACCTATGCCCCCCAGTATGATTCCGAGATGAAGTGATACTCTTTCTTTTTTATTTTACAAAGAAGTGGTACTCTGTAATGATAACTATATTTTCAGATTTCATTAGTTTTTTCATGCATGCTCCTATTTAAAATATCTATATCTAATCTCTACGAGAAATAGTGCATTTACAATCAAACAATAACTCACATTTACATATCAAAGGGTGAATTATTGTAAACTCAACGGTATTGAGTTTGATTCTTAATTTCTTATGGATGAAAAAAAGGATAAAATTTAAATACACTATCATTGGTGCCATTTGTGTTACTATTTTTCAAGCAGAATTAAATTATTATCTTAATAATATGTGTAATAAAAGATTTTATTGAATATGAATACATACTATTGAAATAGTTTTTTTTTTTTTTTAATTTTTTATTGAAGAACATTAACAATACATATGTTAGTGTATTAAAATCTTGGCATAAGAAAATCACATTTACATCTTACTAAATTAAATAAGAATACTTCAAACAATACATTAATATTTTACACTCATTAAATACTATTTAATCTATATAAATTAGAATAATTTTCTTACATGATAGTGTTTTTAACTATTTTCTTTAATCAGAGATTTTTCTTAATTTCTTATCACTTTTAGTATATCATTTTGTTATTTATATATTAAATTTTAATATTTTAAGAAATAGCAATAATTAAAAATGATTTTATATCATAATATAAATAATTTATTATAAACTTTTAGTACATATATATAATAGTTTTTATTATAAATTTTAATTCCATAAAATAAAAACGTATTTTTATATTTTAAATGCTAAAATACTAATTAAAATCGGTAGTAGTATGTAGATTTCTTCCATTTCCGGAGGTTAAACAAATGAACGATCTTTATCTTTATATCCAACATAAGATCATGTTACTAGCGTGCAGTAATATTTTTGCGCCTCATAAATGGTCATCGTAGTTTAGTCTCGGATTCAAATGCCTTGCCAGCTAGCTTGTTTATCTCACCTGAACTACAACCGCGTATTTTGTAGAAAAAAAGAGTTAAGGTTTTCTAGTTTGACAAAGTAACATCCTTGAGTTACATGCTCCTGGTAAAATACAAAGCCAGTGGGTCCAGGACCATCACGTTTCAGGTTCCTGTTTTGCCACCTCAGTTTGTGGGGAGGGCCCATTTGTTTCAAGGTTAATAATGTCTACAAGGTTGTAGAGAATCTAACCCCATCAGAGAATCCAATCCGTTAATGCAGTTAGAGGCTTCTATTAACTCACTTATCTATAACATCTCTCACCTTCTGCTTCCATTCTTCACTCACTCACTGCATCATGGCCTTGTCAAGCCCTCAGATACAACGATTCCTCTTGAGTAAGCTTCATGGCCGCTCCATCTCCAAGAACACACCGAGAAATGTTTTTGCCATCACAAGCAGAAGTGGGTGCTGTTCTGCCATAGCCATTGATGCCCCATCGTCGTCTTTGACTGAGGTGCCCGGCATAAGATGGGGGTCCATAGCCTTGCAGGGTCTCCGTGAAGAGATGGAAGATGATATTATTGTGAGACCCGCTGGCCTTCAAGGCTTCTCTTTTGCAGCTGTCTTTGATGGCCATGGAGGCTTTTCTTCGGTCGAGTTCCTCAGGTCTTTTCTTCCTATGGGATCTTATCTTATCTCATGTCATGTATGTTGTGCTTTGTTTAATGCCTTTTTGCTTGTTTACTTCCCCATGTTATATCCATTTATACTGCCCTAATGGGGTATGTAGATGTGAATATTAGATGGATAGTTTAAGGTAGGACAAAACTTAGGTAATCAGAAATATGCATTTACATTTATACAATCTTTAGTTGCATATAATACCAAAATGAAACTCTAATTCTGATTAGATAACAACACTAACATGATACTATATCTAAGTTTTGTCTTTTAAGATAAAGGTATTGCTATCGAGTGCCTTAGTAAAGGAACCAAAAGTAAAGATTTTATATTGGGAAGGTATATTGAAAATCAAGAGAAGTACACTTCACACTTTCCAATAAAAAAGTTGTTCACTTATGATTTCTTAACTGGTGACCTAAGTACACTAGCTAGCATTTTCATTACAGTAATTACTTGCTTAGGTTTCTAGTTAATTTTCGTGATAATGAATTTGGGGAGTGAGCGGTCAGTCTGTCTAATGGAGTCGCATAGGTGGAACAGAATGGAGTGAATTGAAATGAAGTGGAATTAAGTTACTACTATTATATTTGGAATAATTTTATGATGAAATGGGAGGGAATAAAAAGAATGGTTCCAATTCATAACCTTTGAAATCAGAGGGGGAAAAATGGGAATTGATTTGAATGAGAAGAAATGTATTCTATTTAGTTCTGCTTCATTCCATGTTATTTTAAACAATTCAAACAATGGCACCTAATATATTCCATTTCATTCTACTCCATTCTATCCATCGATCCAAACATATGGTCAGTATCCCTTCCTGCACTCATTGTTATTTCTGCTGTGTGGATATGTGATTTCTTTCTATTCTGAATTGGTCCTGGTAAATGAATTATTATTCTTTACACAATCTGAATTGCTGATTTGGTGTACCAAGTGCCAACTACAGGGATGAGCTATACAAGGAGTGTGTTGAAGCTTTACAAGGTGGATTACTATTAGTTGAGAAAGATTTCAAAGCCATTAAAGGAGCATTACAGGATGCATTTCTCAAGGCTGATATGAAGTTATTAAAACGGTAAGGCAATACACTAGTCTACAACGGATAATCTCCATAAAAATTAAAATGTGTCTAGTTGAATAGTTTCCATAGGTTTCTAGATTTGGTATGATTATGTTGGAGGTTTAGAAAGTAATATTTCATTTTTAAAGGCTTGAAATAAAGGAAGAGGAGGACGAATCAGGTGCTACAGCAACTGCCATGTTCGTTGGAGATGATGAGCTGCTAATTTCACATATTGGTGACTCATCTGTGGTATGTATTATTTATCCTTATTGTGTTCCCAGATGATACATCTGACTCCAGATTTTGATTTTAAAAAAACGCACTTCTTTACATACTTTTAATTAAAGCGCTGAATTGCCAATACTTCCATCTGTTTCAAGTATATGTATCTGATACCAATACTCGTAGATAATTTCACCAGTATGTACGTCTAAAGTATTCAATCTTTTAAAAAATTATGAAAATCTAATATAACTGTGTGAGATACAAAAGAATATATAATATATAAACATAGAAACATTGTTCCTTATGAACCAAAAAGGGAAAATGTCCTCCTATTTATGGATGAGTTCAAGGAAGGAATAACATTGATAGTATTCCTCTTTGTACACAATAGCAAGTGGTTTATGATGACAGTGATTTATATTTGTTTTGCCTTTAATATTGTCTATGAAGTATGTTCTTAATCTAAATTTGTTGAATTGCAATTATATATTTATTACGCTTTATGAATTTTTATATCTAGATATGTATCTTGCATGTATAGTATCTATGCATCATACATTCATACTACAAAATTATCAACAAAGTGTCTATCACTCTGACATTCATCTTTCAATTAGGGTATCTATGAGATTGAATGTCTTCAAAATTACCTGACTTCTACTTAAGCTTGTTTATTCCTGTAGGTTCTATGCAGATCTGGGAAAGCAGAAGTACTGACTAGTCCTCACCGTCCATACGGGAACAACAAGACTTCTCTTGAAGAAATTAAAAGAATCAGAGAAGCAGGTGGATGGGTGTGTGTTTTCCTTGTTCCTTCATTTTTTTACATACCTTTTGATCATCATCCCTAGTCAGTAACTCGATATTCTATACAATAAAAACCAAAGTTCTGATGTGAAAATTGTGACAACTTAGGATGTGAGCTAACTCGATGTGTTATGGGAATATAAACATTCTCTCTTTCCCAGTTTTACTATTTATGTACATTGGTTTTGTAGTTGGAGAAACCACATGTAATATAATTTGTTTCCCACAAGGGAAACACAGTCAAATACTATCATATAAACATCAATAAAGAGCCTAGCATATCAGGTGATAGGGAATTGGTCACTTTTGAATTTCATTGATGTTAAGTGTTTTTTTCCAGTTTCAATTTATAGTTCCAAATTTCAAATTATGTTGAGCTGGCAGTGGTTTTTTTTTCCTTAATTTTTGAATTTTTACCCACCTGAATGGCGGGAGCTTTATGCACTTCAATGAAACTCATGGTTAATAGTAACACAAATATATGTTGTCTATAGATTAGCAATGGTAGAATTTGTGGAGACATTGCTGTATCTCGTGCATTTGGGGACATGCGATTCAAAACAAAGAAGAATGAGTACAGTCCTTAATCTCTGCATATTCCTTCTAGTGTATAGGAATTTCTCCTAAATTTTCTATAAATGGTCTACCACTACTGAAGTGTTTCCTAAAGGTTATCTACCTTTTGCATGTGAAAAGGATGCTGCAAAAAGGAGTTCAGGAAGGAAGATGGTCAGCAAAGTTTATTTCTCGGTAGGTAATGTTATGTTATGTGTCTAAATAATTGTTCCTTATATTTTCTCCAATGTGGGTTTCTAGATACTGCAAAATACAATGAGGACAACATGATACTTTTGGACTTTGTGTTCCACTGTCACATTCAAACGACCTATATCTAATGTTAAAATTGTACCCTCCTGATTTTGGACTGAGCCATATGTAAATTACATTTTTTTAAGCCTCGTTTTCCTTTTTGACTTGAAGCTGAAGGACTGTGTGCCCCTTATTTTGGACTAAGCCATATACGTCATAAATTTGCAATCTAAGACCAACTTATCATCATATGCTAGGCACATTTTTCTAATGACTCTTGGGGCCTCGACCGTGAGAGAGGATTTTCTAATTTAAATAACCACCAACTGTTCCGAATAAAAATCCTGTTAGATCCTCAAAAAGAGTTTCTGGATGTTCTAGTCGCAAGGAGGCTGTAGGTTGATGGTTTCCTGTGACCAGATCAAAAATAAAGCTATAAATTTTAACATAAGGATGCCTTTGTGACACAGTGTACAGCTCAACAATGACTTGATTGTTGCATACCCTGATATTTATCAAGTAGCTCTTGGCTCAGATGCTGAATTTGTAGTATTAGCATCCGATGGCTTATGGGATTACATGAACAGGTCTATTGCATGATCCTTTCAACAATTTCTTGTACCTTCTTTTTCTTTTGGTTCTTCAGAGAATCAATTTCACATTCTTACTACCATTGCAGCTCAGAAGCAGTTTCATTAGTGAGGGATCAACTACGAAAACACGGAAACATTCAGGTATGCATAATGCTTATATTTGAGGCCACTTCACTAGTATCAATAAGCCATAGAAGTTGCAACAATAATATTTTGCTTGTTCTTGTTTCAATTTCAGCTAGCATGTGAAGCACTTGCACAAGCCGCTTTGGTAAGTTAATTATAACAAATCACGTGTCAGTTATAATCATGAACTTATTATATTGACACTTCAAAGTTTAGTTAATATATAATGTAATGACATTCTCTGCAGGACCGACGTACACAGGATAATGTCAGTATTATAATTGCCGATTTAGGGTACGTTTTTTCTCATGCATATAGTTATGAATTTAGACTTTGGTACCCTGATTATTGGTCAGGCCTTTGTGAAGAACAAAACTGGGGCCAGCATATAGTAAAATTCACGAACTAGTTATGGAAATTCTTTGCATCATCCGAGCATTTTATAGGGCAGAGTTTAGTAAAGTGTGTGTTGGAAATATTTTGTGGAAAATGTAGAAAAATTGGATCAGGCAAATTGAAATTAAAATTGAAGAGTGAAAATTATCATTAAAATTATCATAAAAATTTCATAGAAGAGGATATGTCTATGTATAGGCTTACAATTAATTTAAAATTTCTAACAAATCTCATCTCCTAACAACTCTATTTGTTGAGATTATATTGAATAACTGACAACAAATATAAACGTTAAAATTGTAATAATAATAAATATCCTATCTAAAATTTATTCAAAATTTAAATAAAGAAAAATCTCATAAATCTAATACTCCTCCTTGAGATTTGCCATAAACATCACAAACTTTAGTTTCATGAACTCCAAAACTTGATTTCTTAAGAGCCATGTTAGCAAGTTGTTGTACATCAATTTCTTGACCTAAATCATCACCATAGTCATTTAATTTAACTCCTCCCATCTTTAAATACCATTTGCTAGGATTTGTCATATCAAACACATCTTGCATAAAAGTGTGACCAAATCTTCCATGCCAAACATCACTCTCATCAATTTTAGCAATAAAATCATGATTTTCAACTAAATCAAATTTCAAATGAAAATTGTTTTTAATCATCTCAATCTTTGCAGTCTCTAAATCATGTTCATCCATGGTAAAACAATAATTCTCTTTGAAGAAGACTCCATATCCATTCCTTAGCATTTGTGGAACACTAAGAACATTTTGATTCAATTCTGGAATGTAAAGAACATCTTTGACAATTATCATACCTTTCTTGGTTAATATAAAAATTGTTCTTCTTCCATTGACTTGTATAATTTCACCATTTCCCATCTTGACTATCGATTCAATTGATTTGTTAATGGGGGTAAAAAATGATAAACATTTAGTTATGTGACTAGTGTAGCCATTGTCAATGAGCCAAATATTCAATTAATGTGAATTGAGTTCTTGAGATGTCATAAATAAATACTCATCTTCGTCATCATTTTTTTCTTCAATCACATTTGTTTGTTTTTCTAATTGTTGTTTAGGCTGATTCTTTTTTAATTTGCAATACTTTTCACTGTGACCATTTTTATTGCAAAAATTATAGTGAAAAAGAGTTTTATCTTTAAACCAACGATCTTCTTCAACATGGTTGGTTCTTTGGCAATGAAAACAAGGCAAAAAATTTCCTTTTCTCGAAGAACATTCAACTTTTCCTTTATTGTTATTGAAAGTTCATGAATTTCCAAAATTCCTTCTATTGTGCTTTGCTTGAAAGGCAGCTTCAACAACTTCATCACTTCTAATCGCGACTCTTTACTCTTGTGCGTTAAGCTTGTTGGTCAATTTAATAATTGTGAGAGTTTGCAAATCACAAAACTCTTCAATTGCAGAAATCTTGCCTTCAAATCTTTCTGAAACCATGGTTCACAACATCCATTAACCTACTAGAATAATCTTTGGCTAGAATAATCTTTGACAGATTCATTATCCTTCATCTTCATCAATTCAAATTCTCTCTTCAATGTGAGAAGCCTAATAGATTTGACTCTATTACTGTCTTCAAATTCATCTTGGATCTTTTCCCACTCCTGTTTAGGTGTTTCTAAATCCATGATTTTAGTAAAAATATGATCTGCAAGTCCTGCATACAAACAAGTGATGGCTTTATCTTTCCAGCTTATAAGCTTTGATTTGTGCAATGGTTGGATTTTCTCTCAATGGTGGTGGATTAGCTTTAGAAATTACAATGTTCCATAAAACTTGAGATCTTAAAACAAATTTCATCTTGACAGCCCAAATATGATAATTTTCACCATTAAACATTAAAATTGCAAGTGAATTGGTGGAAACAGACATCCTTGCACCAAAAATTGTTTGAACAATAAATTACTTAATTTAACACTCAACCTCATTATGTTTAGTGTTAAATAAAATTTTCCTCACAACTTGTAGGAAGCAAACTCTTGATACCACTGTTGGGAATATTTTGTGAAAAATGTAGAAAAATTGGATCTTATAGACAAATTGAAATTAAAATTGAAGATAGAAAATTATCATTAAAATTACCATAAAAATTCCTAGAAGAAGATGCATATGTATAGGCTTACAATCAATTTAAAATTCCTAACAAATCTTATCTACTAACAACTTTATTTGTTGAGATTATATTAAATAACTGAAAATAAAATGTAAAAGATAAAATTATAACAATAATAAATACCCTATCTAAAATTTATTCGAAATTTAAATAAAGGAAAATCTCATAAATTTAATGGTGTGGTCAAAAGTGTTTTGAAAATTAATATAGTTTAGGGTTTAGAGTAGAACTTATTGCATAAGTTCTATTTTTTTTTAAAATATAAGTTACCTATGATAATTCAATTCTTGTTAACTGAGTTTGATTTTTCTACCATTTATTGTATTGTTCTTATTTAGTTATTTTGAATACTTGTAGGCGGACAGACTGGCAAAATGTTCCACTGCAGCAACAAAATGTTATATTTGAGCTGGCTCAAGCTCTTGTTACCATTGGAATTGTGTCTATTGGAATCTGGTTTTCATCGCAGCTTTCCTTATAGATTCAGAAAATACCACCAGTCATGTACATAAAACAGAAATATACTTATGAACTTTTTGTCTGTATAATCTTAATTGTACATGCCTCACATCCTAGAATCTACTTGGTTTAGGGCACCAAAGAATTGTTAAGAATAAATATATTTTTGAAGGCTTCATCTTATTCTGATTCTGAAATTTAGTTATTGCTTTTCATGGTTTACCCCTTGACATGTCGAAGTGATCACCTGCAGTTCCAACTAAATTTGATAGCACACTTCTTTGACTTATATCTCTTCCTCTCTACAAAAAGAGCTTTGAAAATTGGTCCACAATGACCTAGACTAAATTGTTAATTACACTATCTAAATGAGGTTTGACTCTTAAAGTACATTAGAAAATGAACAGTTTAACCACTTTGGTCTTTATTAATTAATTACTCAAATAGCTTACCCAAAAATCATCTTTTAAATATTTGATTATTTGTTTAATGGTAGTGTGAATGAAATAAGGCAATTCAAGTATATGCTCCAACTTAAAATTTTCTAGTAGGATCCTACAGTATTACACTATATGACCAAAAGTCTTAATATGCAAAGCTTGGCTGTAAGGCATGTAAAAAAATCTAGATTTAGATTTTTGTGTGTTCTTAATTGGATCCAATTGGATTAAAGGGTTATTCTAATTGACATCTTTGGATGCTCATATTTTGAGTAAATTGTTGGAGAAGGAATTGGTATCTTTGCAAAGTCCAAATGGAGTGTTTGTGGACATATTAACTTTTAAACTGATTGAATTTGACCTAAATTAAGGAAGAGAAAGTGTGATGTCATTGTCAATCTTTACCACCAAAAATGCGTCTGCAGAATAGTGTATATGGACCTGCACAATTAGAAACATCAGGAACCTAACTTTTTTTCCTTTCTTACAAGTCTATGAATGAAGTTCTTTACGAAACGCTATGTCAGCCACAGGAATTGGAAAGCCAGATTTAACTTTCTTTGATGTTGATGTATGTCAACTTACTATGAAAATTGATCACTATTTACATATTAGCTTGTGTAACTGCTGACTCGGCGACCTACAACTAGATATTTTGCTAGTTTATTTAAATGTGATTTTTTTAGTAACTATATTATTGATTAATGATTAATCTTTGTTAAAACTTAGAAGTCTTCCATTTTTAGTAGATTCTTCTATCCCAACAATTTGTTTCCTATCTATAATGAATTTTTTTAACCAAGCTTTGTTTGATATAATTAGTTAAAATGTTTTTGTTTAAAATGAACAAATTTATTCTTATAAAGTAAGTGAACTTTGATTTTAATTCTTATATAAAAAACTTTGATTTTCATCCTATTTGAATTCATTATTGGTAGTTGTTCCTACCGTAAGTTCGCTGTCATCGTTAGGGTTACCGCATTCGAGGTATTGTCCGCTTTGGTACTCATTGGGTCATCACAGTTTTGTCCTTTAAAAAGCACATCGGTGGGTTAAGGAGGGAGGATGTTTATAAACTATCATTAGCCTCAGCTCCTAAGCGATGTGAGACTTTTTAGACATACCGGAAGAGTAGTTTTAATGTTTATTTAGAAGTATAAATAATTTTAAGAGTTTAACATAATTTTAACTAACTGACTTTTTCAAATACGTTGACCGGTAGTTGATAATACTTTGTATTTTTTTATTAAAAAAATAGTTAATGAGTAGCAAGAAAAATTACTAGGATTGGCCTCTTGCATGGTAGATGTTAGGGTAAATTTATTTATTTATTTATTATTATTTTAATAAAAAAAGTGAAATGACTTTAAATATGTACATAGTATGTTATTAATTTTTTATCCGATAATTTTGAAGGTATTGTCCTGTATCTATCAATTTCACTAATTTAAAAAATATGCACACATAATTTTATTGAAAACATAGATATTAATTAGAGGGAGATTATTTTTAAAATTAATAGGGGAAAATTGGGGAAAAATACTGTATAAACTCCTGTTTTATTAATTGTACTATCCGTATCGCGGAACTGAGCTTGAGCTCGGCACTGAAGTGCTAAGCGACATCGGATGAACACTACAAGACATCGGCCAAAACAAGGGCCCACCATCTGAACGGATCATAACCAGCCTCAAGCCCAAGGCCTAGATAAACCCTAATTCACACTAAGGTACGTGCACTACATATACGAGACTTATACACCCACAAAGACTAACTTTAACATCGGAGTCTCTTTTGCAGGTACCGCCCCCACTTTAGAACAGCCGACGTATCCAGCGAAGGAGGCTCACCAATCTTGTCCAGCAGATCGTCCCCCACGACTGATCTCTGGTAAGAACATTTGGCGCCCACCGTGGGGCCGTTCAAGACATCTCTTATCAGCCACGCTTATAGTTTTCACCCGAAGCCATAGTAGACGAGCAACAGACGACCAAGATCACGCATCAAGAATGGACGGAGAAGCGACATTAAGACGGCTGATCGAGCAGGTCGATCAAATGCGACAACAACACGCTACTGACCTGGAGAACATGCGCGTCCGACACGAAGCTGACCTAGCAACGCTACGAGCTGAGAATGAGCGCATCTGCGCCCAGCTTCCTCAGCGCCCCCCTGATCAGCCCCCTCAACCAAGCAATCAACACGAGGAAGAAGGGCACTCGGTTTTCTAGCCACCGACTGCACCCAGGGCGATGACCCATAGGTCTATTGCGTATCGGTCACATGTACCGACACACAGGTCAGACCACGAAGTCAGCAATGCCCCCGCCCAAGCTCTAGGACATAGGGCGAGCATCCACCGACATCCTTTTGTTGACGGCATCATGGAGACACCCCTTCCTTTTGGATGGAAGCCCCTCAACATCGACCGCTATGATGACACTACTGACCCGGATGAGCATGTCGACCTGTACGTCACGCAGGTAAACCTATACACTAACGATGATGCTATCTTGTGTAGGGTTTTTCTGACCTTGCTTAAGGGATCGACACTCGCTTGGTATACTCAATTGCTAGCGGGATCAGTCGATAGCTTCGACACTCTAGTGAGGCAATTCACGGTGCAGTACGCAACGAGTCGACCACATCATATCACGTCTGCTGCCTTGGCCAGCCACAAACAGGGCGACGATGAACCATTGAGGACATTCATGGAGCGCTTTGTCGGCATCTCCGTCAAGATCTGCAACCTCAACCCCGAGGTCGCCCTACACGCCATGCTCATGGCGCTCAAGCCAGGACCTTTTGTTGACAGCCTTTATCGGCGACCTCCCCCGGACATGGACGAAATCCTTGCCCGAGCTGCGGGGTACATTCAGATGGAAGAACACACTGCTTTTCGTGACCAAGTTCATGGGAAACCACATGGAAAGCCAGACCATGGCCACAAAGATAAGGTAAAAGTCACCAACGATAGCCAATTCAAGAAGGCTAGACTGAATAAAGGAGGGAGGTATGACTTCTACACCCCCTTGAACGCACCCCGAGTACATATCCTGGAGAAGGCCAGCAATACCAACCTGATTACTCTACCACCGCCTGGGCACAGCCCTAGCAGCGCAAACAAATCTAAGCATTGTCGATACCATAAAAAACTATGGTCACATAACCGAGGAATGTCGCACACTCAGAGACCGCATTGAGGAACTCGTCCAAGAAGGGCACCTCGGACAATACGTCCAACAGCAACAATCTCACAGAGGAGGCTACCATGGACGAGGACAAGGACGAGGCCGAGGTTCCGGCACTCGCATAGATCAACCCTCAGGATCTCAGTAAAACGTCGGTGGAGCAGTGCAGGCCGAGGTAAGTCATGATACAGGAACGACTCCTCTACATGGAGTCATCGATACAATTGCAGGTGGCTTCGCAGGAGGGGGCTCCAGTAGCTCGGTGCGTAAAAGACACTTACAGAGCATCAACAATGTCCATGCTGACACCTCGGCCCCGCACCGCAACACGCCACCCATCACCTTCACGGATGATGACTACACTGGCATTTGTCCAAATCAGGACGACCCCATGGTCATCGTGGTGGAAGTAGCTAACTGGGAGGTCCACAAGACGTTGATCGACCAGGGAAGCTCGGCTGACGTCCTATACTGGCCGACATTCCTAAGGTTAGATATCCCCCACTCCCTCATTCAACCTCACATAGAACCCCTAGTCAGTTTTGCAGGGGAACGAGTCCACAGTCGGGGATACATAGACCTACTAACGACCTTCGGGACCCCCCTGACTCAAGGAGGATCATGGTCCGATACCTCCTCATGGAGGCCAACACGTCATATAACATCATCATCGGCAGGCCGACATTGAACCAACTCGGAGCTGTGGTATATACCTCGTACCTGACGATGAAATTCCCAGAGAGCAACGGCAAGATCATCTCAGTTAGGGCAAACCAGAAAATAGCTTGACAATGCTATGCTGAAAACCTGAAGTTTTCACCATCAGAGGAGCACCGCCGAAGTGACCCCCCTACAGTAGCTCACATAGCCCAGGTTGACATCACTGACCTGGATCCAAGGTCGAAGTCCCACGATGAACGACCAAGTCCAATCGACGAGCTCGACGACCTTCAAGTTGGTAAACTCCCTGGACAGTGTACGAAGATAAGTCAACAGCTAAACCCAGAATTGCGACAATGGCTCATAGAAGAGATCTCCAAAAACACCAACCTTTTTGCATGGTCAAGTGCCGACATGCCAAGTATTGACCCTAATCTCATCTGTCACAGGTTAGCCATCCACAAGGAAGCCAAGTCGGTCGCTCAAAGAAAAAAAAGGTCAGAGGGGAAAGACGCGACGCCATCATCACCGAGACACAGAAGTTGATGAACGCGGGCTTCATCCGCGAAGTCAGATACACCACATGGCTAGCCAACGTGGTACTCGTCAAAAAGAACTCGAGGAAGTGGCGTATGTGTGTCAACTATATCGACCTCAACAAAGCATGTCCCAAAGACTCATACCCTTTATCGAGCATTGATAGATTGGTTGACGGCGCCTCCGGCCATGCCCTCCTCAGCTTCCTCGATGCATATTCTAGGTACAATCAAATCATGATGTACCCACCAGACGAGGAGTACACGACTTTCATCACCGATCACGCCAACTTCTACTATCTCGTGATGCCTTTCGGCCTAAAAAATGCCAGAGCTACTTACCAGCGATTGATGGA